GTTTACATAAATGAAAAGTATATTTAAATACAATTGAAAGTTTCTTCTGTATGTAATGCAAATATTATAACAATAAAAAATGTGTATTATATAGAAGTCTCTATAAGTGAAGTTCATTATATTATCTAATTTCTAAAAATTTCTTTTTATAATTTATGGTTCAAATGTTAAATTGATAATTATTTAGGTTTAATGTATTATGAAATTAGATTCTTTTCCCTCGCTCTTTGAAAGCTTAGTTGGTTTGTTTATTTCATCCTACAAAATAGCTTCACGTAAGTAAAAAACTTTCAACATGCAATTATGTAAATAGAGTTTTACTATTTTTATTACAAGGTTATTTTTTAAACAGTTTGCAATTTTTCAATCGATAATTAGGCATTACAATGGACAATTGTATCCAAGCAATCAAATGCTCTGAATCAATAATTGTCCTATAAGATTTTGGTTTGTCGGTCCTCATAACATCGCATGAAGTGCCTCCAATTTATAGATGCAACCAATCATGAGATAGCGATAAGTTGTTAACAAATAATAATGAAGACGAAATGGTTTATGCTATTCCCGAACGTCTCACAAATTGGGAAACGTTAAAGAACCACCTCCCACAAAAATTTTTCAGAACACTAAACAGCTAAATAATAGTTCTCCAAACAATGTGTTTTGGAACGCAATAACATAGCGTTGTACACGATTTAACAGACAGAAAAGAGGTTATGGTTTTCGGTTGTACTATAAGTGTATTCTGAAATATAAAATATAATAATAATATGAAGCTAGTAAGGTATGTAAACTAAAAAGAATAATGAATTTATAGAAACAAGCGGCGTTATAAGTAAATATTTTATTCAATGTAAAAATTGATTGTTATAGCATGTATAATTCCTATCAATTTGATATTATATTCTTAATATGAATAAATAATTTTAGGTTTTTGATGAAACTCAGTCACGAGACTGTAACAATAGAATTAAAGAATGGAACACAGGTACATGGCACTATTACCGGTATGTCAACATAACCTATATGGTTTAATATTATTTATGACATGTATACATATTTAATGATTAAAGCTTCTTATTAAACATAAAAAAGCAAGTACAATAACAGTTAGTTGTGACGCAATATTACTGCATAATTGATAGATCCCTTTAGATTATTTATGATATAAATTAAACAAGAATGAAATAATGTTTGAGTGTATAACAGAATATTTAACAGTAATTGAGTATTAAAGTTATTGTATTAAGGGGACCGGAAAGTAATGTCGTTTCTGTGCATATTTATCTGTTTGAATCTAATGTAAACAAACGACATAACTTTCCGGTCACCCTAATATATATAGTTTAGTTGTTTTGTATAATTGACAATATAAAAAAGGAAATATTAATATAATTTATTTTGACACTTTTTTTCAAGGAGTGGATGTGGCAATGAACACACATTTAAAAACAGTAAAAATGACTATAAAAAATAGGGATCCTGTACAATTGGATACTTTGAGTTTACGAGGCAATAATATAAGGTATTATATACTGCCAGATTCACTACCACTGGAAACATTACTCATAGATGACACACCAAAAGCCAAGGCTAAGAAAAAGGAAGCTGCCAGAGGTTTGTGTTAACAAATGAATTTTAGTATATAAGATTATATAAAGCTATACATTACATTAATTTATTATTAGGAGCAGCACGTGGTAGAGGACGAGGTGGTCGTGGTACTAGAGGTGGCCGTGGTGGACGTGGTAGAGGAAGAGGCAGGCGATAGTTACACAGTGTTTTAATTAAAAAAATCTAACTGAATTTTGGCACATTTAAAGAAAAGCAAAATTATATTTACATAATGTACTATGATATGACATTGACATAATTCAATAAATTGTACTGATTTTGTAATTTAATGTCAATATTTTCTACTGTATTCTATTTTTGTAAATTCTTTGCAAATATTTCAATTTGCTATTGTCAAGGTACTATGATTTTAAATGGTTTTATTGTAAGTACTAATATTGTCATTAGTGATGACATTTAAAACATTTAGGTAAATCAGAAATTGAAATGACAATTATTGAAAGAATTAATGAGTTTGTTTCTAAATTCATTTTATGCGTTACATTTGAATTAACAATATTAAAGATATTTGTACTTTTGACGTAGTAAGTATACGAATAATTTGTGGTTTGATTTCTCCTGCACATTTCAGAGCAGTCTTCGAAAATGCTCTGTCTCTGTCATGTGCAGTTAATTCCGAGCCCTGATGTAAATCATAGATCATATGTAATCGCAGAAATAAAGATTTGCGCACGCGTGCTAGAAATTGGCTTTTGAAAAGTATTACAGTTTCGCCTCTAGTTAACATATTGCAAGCCGGCTAAGTATCAGCCATTGAAAGCCTGAATTCTTTGAAGAATGGACAATTATAGAAATATTAAAAATCTTATACATTTTCGTAACATAGTCCATTTTTTTTATAAATAAAGCAAAAATATAATTTTTTATTTGAAGGTAATACAATAGACTGAAAAAATCCCGTATTATTGCGGGGCCAACAGTCAAGAAATATATCAGAGCTCTCAGATGCCTGGCCGTTTTACGACTTTCTTCTAGGAAAGTAGGAGTCCAATGGCAAACCATTGGAATCGCCTAATCCCATTTGTGAAGTCTCCTCTCCGCCACTTGGAGCATATTCCGAGCAGAATCCCTGACACCATTGGACACACTGGCTTTGAATGGAAATTCCAAGAACGGTTAGGTGTCTGAGAACCCTGAGATATAGTAATGGATCCTACTACTGTACATCACCAGGCCGCAGCTTGATCCGTTAGTGAGAGCCAGTATAGAAATTTTCTCTGCTCGGATTGGCTGACAATTCATTGCTGAAACAAGATCCACTGCAGATTGGATGCGCAATAAAATGGTGGGAATGTGCGCGCTAGCTTAGGGAGTAAGAAAAGCGTGCAGGAATAGGTTCTATTACTGTAGATTCGAAATCCCGCATGGGGCCGGCGATCAATGTGTTAAGTACTCTATGTAACTCTATGACTCTATGGTAACAGATTTGAATACCTGAATACATTGTATATGGCAGAGATGCACGCGTACCCGATTTGGGGTTATATGTCGTTATACAAACTCTATAAATGAAAATAGCTTTCTAACGATCGTAAGAGTTATTAGAAGAAGTTTAAAGTATCATTATTAGTGGTATCCAGCAAACAATGCCAAAATATTATTGTGATTATTGTGATACCTACTTAACACACGATTCGCCAAGTGTACGAAAGACGCACTGTCAGGGTCGTAAACATAAAGATAATGTCAAGTATTTCTATCAAAAATGGATGGAAGAACAAGCACAACATTTGATTGATGCAACGACTGCAGCCTTCAAAGCTGGAAAAATTGCATCTAATCCATTTGCAGCGAATAAAGGAGCAGCAATACCACCACCTTCAAGTCTTGGACCTAGACCTGGGGTACCGCCTCAGGGACCACCAGGCATGATGCCACCTCCTGGGATGCATCCTGGTGGACCAATGGGTCCAGGAGGTCCAATGATGATGGGACCACATGGACCTATACCTCCAATGATGGGCATGAGACCACCTATGATGGGTCCTATGGGACCAATGGGACCAATGATGGGTCCTATGGGACCTATGGGTCCAATGAGACCACCTATGAATGGACCACCACCACCTATGGGAGGACCGCCACCGATGAAGAAATAATGAAAATATATATTATTTTAAATCATATTAACTTTAATTTAAGTCACTTCTCAATCACACATGTGTTTAATATAGTAAAAGTATGTACATACGGTTGTAAAAGATGAAGCATACATTTTGTGAATGTTAGGATACATAGTAAAGTTAAAATCTTTTAAGGACTGAATAAATGGAAACATATTTAACTATAATTTGTACATGTCTTTTGTATTAAATTTAATACCTCAGTGTTACTAAAAGATTTTTATTAATAGTAGCATAGTACACAAATATTATATTTTAAAGGATAATATATAAAGACTATATGATCTAATTTTAAACAATCTTTTTATTTCCTTTATTAACTAAAGTAGGCAAAGATATTTAAAGAATGCTAGAACATCATACTACATGAAGGTGTTTTTCAATTTATGCTGATGTTAATAAAAGTCAATAATGTACTTATTACAATAGAAATTTAAAAAAAATGAATATTATCTTGATACTCGTGCAATATTGGTATACACATAGTGTATATCACTGCATTTTAGTAAGGTCAAGTAGTTTCCAAGCAAACCTACCTTTTACTTAATATATATACATAAAGTTTCGTTAATTTCACTTTTCCCTTAGAGATGCAGTACGTACAGAGTGGTCCGTTTATTTCTTATACCTAACGTCATCAGTATTTCTTATTTTCTAAAGAACATCAACTCGGTCACTCTGCAGTGATGGGATAAAATACGATCATATTCTTGTATTTCGTAAAGAATAATTCAGTATATTATAGAGGACGAATTGAAACAATCAAATCACTTGAAATTGAAAATATTCAAGTTCCTGTCAAATAAAAAATTATAAACGTTTTCTCACCTTCACAATTGCAGATACTATTTACTTAGATGCACGATAAGTATTACACATAAAG